TCTCTCTCTCTCTCTCTCTCTCTCTCTCTCTCTATCTCTCGCTCTCTCTCTCTCTCTCTCTCTCTCTCTCTCTCTCTCCTCTCTCTATCTCTCTCTCTCTCTCTCTCTCTCTCTCTCTCTCTCTCTCTCTCTCTCTCTCTCTCTCTCTCTCTCTCTCTCTCTCTCTCCTTCTCTCTCTCTCTTCTGGGTGTGTGTGTGGTGTGTGTTGGTTGTGTGTGTGTTGTGTGGTGTGTGTGTGTGGTGTGTGTGTGTGTGTGTGTTGTGTGTGGTGTGTGGTGTGTGTGTTGTGTGTGTGTGTGTGTGTGTGTTGTGTGTGTGTGTGTGTGTGGGTGTGTGTGTGTGTGTGTGGTGTGTGTGTGTGGTGTGTGTGTGTGTGTGTGTGTGTGTGTGGTGTGTGTGTGTGTGTTGTGTGTGTGTGTGTGTGTGTGTGTGGTGTGTGTGGTGTGTGGTGTGTGTGGGTGTGTGTGTGTGTGTGTGTGTGTGTGTGTGGTGTGTGGGTGTTTGTGTGGGTGTGGGTGTGTGTGTGTGTGTGTGTGTGTGTGCCATTAATGATAGCCTGTTTACTTGCCAAATTACTGCAGCCCGTTTGATGCCATTGACACGCCGGATGTAAGACGCCGATCCTTGGAGCGTAAATTATAACGATTATTGAAACGTAATTGGAAGACAGCGACACTGAAGACAAATCGTAGCACTGGGGCCATGCGGAGGCGGGACATTCAATAATAGGCTGCTTTCATTGCGCGAGGACGGAAGGGCTGTGATGAACGTCCAAGGATTGCCAAAACCAGCCTTCGCGGATGAAAACCAACGTCAGAAGTGTTTAGCTCGCTGTCTTTCTTACGTCAACCTGTAATATCATGCCCTTCGGCATAGCTACGTCCGCAGTCTGCGCCTGTCGTAATGTCGGCCCGACGGGGCCGGCGGGCGGCGTGCTCTACCGCGTGTCAAGGCGGACGTACCGTTGCAGGGTGCGAACCAGGCTCCTCTGCTGCCTTAGGCAGTAGTCCCTCGTGGTCACCTGAAATGGTCAACACCGCTCAAAGTGGTCAGCGCGACCGCGTTGGCACGCAGCACCAGACAGGAACGCCAAGTCCACTCGGTCACTGCAGTTCTGCACGTGTCAGTTATTGAATCAGGGACAGAGTTTGGTCTCAGGGCACAGAGTTAGGTCTCAACATCATCAGGACACACATATTTAACTCGGCTCGCACGGGATGGCGGGTGGAAATGAGTGACACAAGCACATATATTTTCAAAAGCTACTTTATGATTACGCTAAAAATGGCGTACTTTGCTACATTGCAAAAAGGTGCATGATCCAGGGAGGCCGAATGAGTATCGTTAGTGGTTTAATTCATTCTTTTCTATCACCAACAAGAAAGAGTCAGCATTGACGGCCCCGTGGACACTTCGGTTTGTGCCATTAGCACCAGTGCGTGAAGTGAGATGGTACCGATCCCTCCCGTCTCCACCCGGCTTATAACCTGCGCTGGGCCGTCAGATTGTTTTGAGATGAACTTTTTCAGGCGGCTAAACACGCCATCCACGGTGATCTGGTTACCGGTGCCCAGCAGCTCTGTGCTCCGATCCACGACACCTGCATACCGGAGCACACCGTCAGTCGTGTTCGGTCGACAGGAGCACGCCGTCAGTCGTGGTCAGTTGACGGGAGCACACTGTCAGTCGTGTTCGGTCGATGGGAGCACGCCGTCAGTCATGGTCAGGTGACGGGAGCACACCGTCAGTCGTGCTCGGTCGATGCGAGCACGCTGTCAGTCATGCTCGGTTGATGAGAGTACACTGCCAGTCATGCTCGGTCGACGGGAGCACACTGTCAGTCGTGCTCGGTCGACGGGAGTACTCTGCCAGTCGTGCTCGGTCGACGGGAGCACACTGCCAGTCGTGCTCGGCCGACGGGAGCACACTGCCAGTCGTGCTCGGTCGTCGTGACTTTACAGCCAATCTTGCTCCGACCCGGTTCACGACAGATAAACGCCGCAGAAGGATGCTGAGTGCAGCAGATGTTATGGAGCGGTTCGAACGAGCAGCTTTGTGTGAAGACCCTATCCTAAGGTACTTTTCAACTCACGCTGATGTGACCTCTGCCACGCCTATTACACCACTTATCCATCCATGCGTTCCCCGCGTGGAATACAAAAGTACAAGGAGCACCTAAACTTGGAGGGCACAGAAGCGCGGTCAAAAGTCTCGTTCTTCTGGCCCATGTATAGGGGATGAGTTCACTTCAGAGACGGGCTAACTGGCTGTTTCCAACCAGCCGATGGCAGCCGAACAACTTCAGGAGCTGGGAGCATCAATAACTATCTTAGAGGTTGCATGGGATAGTTTGCAAAACCTTGTACGTTGCTGGAAGCGATAAGCTTTGTCTGAAGAAAGTCAATGGTCATCAGCGGAACTCGCTCCCAGACAGAGTATTGTGCTATGTTCCGACCATTCGGCGTGAACTGGGGTCAGGGCCAGAGGCATCGGCAGGGCTGGGGGCCAGTGGCGTCTAACGAACACTCGGCGAATACCACCGCTGCAGTGGGGGGGGGGGGGGGGAGACAACGTTAGTCATCGGGCGTCAGGTGGGGGCGACCAAAACAATGGATTCCTCTCGGAGTGAACAGCGTAATGCACAGTTCGACGGGGTAACAGCTGACTGCAAGCTAGCAGGACCTGCGGGCACCTCTGCCCTGTGCATGCCTGACACAGCTGATACTGGCGGGAGGTCGACGACCCCTGCACGTGACACGGGGAGAGATACTCACTGACGCCACACACGGAGTCGGGCGAGGCGCTGACGGTGAAAGAGGCGGACTCCCCGGGCCGGGCCGTCTCCTTGTCCCAGCTGACGTCCACCTGACAGCAGCAGGACGTAAGTAGTGGCGGGCCCATATGGGGAAGGGAGAGGCACGGGGTCATGCCCCCCCCCCCCCGTTGGCACCAAAGGGGCTCACGGGCTCTAATGGCCCATAACTGCTCGACTGGGTGCAGGTGTCTTTAAACGCAAGAAAACGCAACGAAACGCAACAAAATTGGACGTCTTTGTGCCTCCAGGCGACCAAAAACAGTCGCGTGCGAAAATGAAGGGTCCACGAACAGACAAGAATAATTCTTCGCTGATTAAGAGTGAAGTGGTTGCCGGAGATTTGAGTCACGTGACAGCCGTCACGCTATCACCGGGACCCCATATCTTCTTTTTGGAGTCAATCCGATCGCTCAGAAGCCTTTCACATTGCCCTTGATTTCTTTGCATTTACTCAAAGGGCCCCATGCTGTTGTCGGGCCCTAACTACTAACATCCCGAGGCAGTCTCGGTCGATCAGGGTTCCTCCACGATTTCTTTTCTTTCACCTGAATAGCTCTATACGCTATTGCCGGGACCCTTTATGCTAGCCTGCAGTGGTACTCTTGGATGCTAAGGGCTCATTACAGGGGTCCTAGGTCATTTCCATTTAATGTTATTTGCAAGGAACCTTCACTCTTCCCGAGGCCCTTTCTGTTAATCGGCCCGAGCATTCTGGACAGTTTACGTTTACGTTTAGATATCTTTGATGGACGCAAGATTTGCATGCCATTTGCTGAATGAATGAGCGTTTCTGTACCGCGGAATGTTTTAAGACAACATATAGCACAGTACTAGCCAAGCGTGTATTTTATATATTTATCAAATGTGTAATGCAATGGAATGTGCTGCAACCTGACTGACTACATACATATGTACAGGATCCCGCCGCAGTGGTCTTAGGCAATTAACACTTGCTTAGAGAACCCTGCGTTGCTGTGCGTTGTCCTATACTTCGACTTGCCAACGCACGCAACGCACAGTTGTTTAAGGGCATAACCCATGTGCGTTGGTCTTGGGTTCTTTCCGTTTGCTCGGAGGGACCTGCGCGCTGATCGGGGCTCCATATATGTATATATATATATATATATATATATATATATATATATATATATATATATACCTCGCCGGGGCACTTCCGACTGTTTCGAACCGATCACATTGGTCTTGGTTTCTCCTCGTCTGCGTGGACGACCCAATGCTGTTGACAGCAGCCCCTTTGTTGGCCTGCGACGGAATCCTTGATGGCTCTGGTGCCGTCCCCAATAGTCTCAGGTTTTCCCATGTTATCAAAATGCTGATCGATCTGGACGCTCTTGATTGAAACGTAGCTTTTCGCATTGGTCTTAGGCTTTTCCGATGAAGTTAGAATGGCCTTAATCTGCTGCTGAAAGCCCCACATGTGCTTGCGAGCGCTAGGGTGTTTTACCTCCTCGTATGTACGGCCTGGCTAAATTAATCCATGTACACAGGTCCTAGATCTACAAGGTGATGATTGCCCTGGTGCCTCAGTCTTAGCAGAGCAGATGGATATGCTCCGATGCATTTTTACGTGCAAAACCCTAATAAAATTTAGGTGCCACCGACGTTGCGTGTCATTTCCGTTGGTTACATCATTTATGATATTGATGCTTATGTATCACGTTCCTAAAACATTTTGAACGCTAGGATATTTTGCTATCCTTGATTAGAGCCAGAGAAAACACTCTGCATTCGTCGTCAGCCATCAGTTAATCCCATACACCAGGCACGGAGCCGCTGGAAAGCCGGCTAGCAGTAACGACCTGAGGAATAAACCGTACTGCTTGGTCAACTTCAGCTCATTTTACTGCATATTTTCCAGAATATCTGGCTTCAAAATGACAGGAGTCACCATGACCGGGGAAAAATGAGCGCTCCCCACGTGTGCGTAAGTACGACGCCTAGTTTTCCAGAGCTGAGCATAGAAGGTTGATTTCACTATAAAACAGCGGCGTAAGTACGACTCTTAGAATTTAATGGCCGATGCTCGAGCCTTTTTGCAAGATCCCAAGCTCAAGGGGAGTTCTCAATGTTACGTGCCCGATCCCGATGAATCCTGGTCCGCTACTGGACGGAAATGGCCGAGTAGATCAGTCGTCAATTTTGACTCACTATGAGGAAACGCATATGCCACTTGCGGTTAATTGCCGTTTAGAAGATTTGCATGTATCGCATCTGAAGACAGCGCGAACCAATAAATTTTGACCTGAAGATCGTACCTTAAAGCTTAATTTTACTTTATTGTCTGCTGCCGGATCCCTATAGAATGCCTGGCTGTTGGAATAAACCAGACCTTTGGCATCAGTACTGTTATTATCAGCTTTTTAATCGACACCACTACTGTGAGCACCTCATATTTCCTCGTTTTCAGTGAACATTTTTTCGCATGCTGTCGCACCTGGTTGTTGAAGCACTGCTCCACCTTGAGGATAACCGCGTCGCTCACCACCTCGCCCGAGTCCAGCACGAAGAACACCAGCAGCTTGAACTGCGGGCTCATGGCTGGTGTCATCGGCAGTGTTCAGGCTCGAGCTGGACACGCGGCCTGATTGCAGGATCTGGCTGAGCACCATCACCTGCCCAACACGGGGGGCGGGGCATGGAGATGATGGCGCGTGACCCCAGTCGCTGGCACGCTGCCAGCAAGTCACAGAGAAAGCACGTACCACTTTTTCAAGACAGTTGGCGCACTGGGAGCGTGTGTGGGAAGACGGTGGGAGAGCTGTAACGAAATATTAGGGCATCTGGCATGGATGCTGATTTTCTATCTCAGCAAAATCCTGTTGCCCGATTATGAAAATCATTAATGTGAGACGTTAGGCGTTTGAGACGCTCTTCGCCCAGTACCGTCATCACGAATGCCCATAACGTCAGCGTCTTACCTGGTACACCATTGGTGGCACGTCCGTCTCCAGTGACGTCAGCAGCTGGACGGTGACGTCACCGTGGCATGGCAGCTCGTCGGGCAGCAGGTGGACGTCGATGGTGAGGTAGGAGTTGGAGGGGGAGAAGAAAGGCCACGAGTTCGTGCCTGATAGCCTCGCGGCCGGCTATCGAGTACAGCTGGTGGCCACAGATCACGCTCTAACGTAACACTTCCCTGTGCCATGACGTCACACCCAGCCGTCCAAGTGAAACCGCGCCATATAGGCAATAAGAGTCGCCAAATGCAACTGAAAGTCCTCATACGTTCTCTTGAAATAATACACCGATAACGGCGTCATACAACCAGCGCTGACGTCATACAACGACCCTGACGTCACTAAACAGAAGTAAAAGTCACAGCACTGTCACGAATCTGATTATACTAGTCACGACCTTCGCGTGCTGTCCCTGATATCACTAAACAGGAGTGAAAGTCACAGTACTGTTACGAATCTGATTATACTAGTCACGAGTCGTGACTAGTATGAGGGTCGTGACCCACGACCCTCACGTGCTGTCCCTGACGTCAACACACTGACTCTGACGTCACCGCGCTGATATCATCGCATCTTATCCGATGTCGCATACTGACCCCAACACAATTAAAATAACGACGATACTACCATACCGACCCCAGCGTTAGCACAACAACGCTGGCGGCATCATGCTGACCCTGACGTAACCACCCTGACTTTGGCATCAACACACTGACTCTGACGCAACCACATTGGCTCGGACGTCACCGCACTGGCTCCGACGTCACCACACTGACTCTGACTTCAGCCAGATCGATCTTAGTATCACTCACTGTCGCCAACTTCACAGACCACATCGGGCGTCATCAGGCTGTCCCTGATGTTTTGTTATACTTGGCATCAACCGGCTGCTGTTGACATTGCAGAAGCGACCCTGTTGTCCCAGCCCCTGTCGTCGCTGCAATACCTCTGCTCCTGACGTCACCGTTGTGACACAAGCGGTATCTTGGTTTTCAGCTTGCATCAGAAGCCAAACTCAGGGTGTGAGAATATCTGATCGCTTCGGGAACAGCAAAATCTCTACAAAGCCACCCAACAGCATTGGAGTTGTTCAGGGACCGGCACTAGACCGCCTACTCTACCGCATCTTCGCGAATAACCTTAGCCTCTCTGCAGAGGGTGCAATCTTTGTGCGGTATGTGGACGACACCCAAATTCTTGCGAGCGACAAAAACGTCATTTTCAAAATGTCGTCAAGCAGATGGAACACATCCTGGCCTTTCCGGATGCTTGGTTTCGTGCAAACGGTCTTGAAGTAAATGCTGAGAAGAGCCAGTTAGTGTTGCTTGGAAGCACACAAAGTCTGCGTAGCTCCCAAAGCTTTACTGTAAACTTTCGCGAGTACGAGCTATCCCCTGTTCGGAGATGGAAATCTAAAGCCAGCATTTGATCCGTTCTCCCAGCTGAAATTCCCGCCTTTCTTCCGTCACTGACTTTAGACTTTAGTACTTCACGTTGCTTTAGTACTCTATCTGGTGTAGCAAATCTAAGGGACTAATAGCCACCTAGTGTCGTCTCCACGCTGGTGAGCGCCTTGGTGCTCTCGTATTTGTACCTACGTTTGTAAGCTGAGTGTCGGCGTTTGTTTCTTTTTACTTGCAGCCAGTAACACCTTGTTTTGATGCTGTGACGATGGGTTTGAATAGTCACGAGACCATCGTGGATAGTCCGGAGGCACATCTTTGTCTACGTCTACGTTAATAGCCGCGACATGGCCATCGACCTATGTCTATGTCTACGTCTACGTTAGTAGCCGCGACATGACCATCGACCTATGTCTATGTCTACGTCTACGTTAATAGCCGCGACATGGCCATCGACCTATGTCTATGTCTACGTCTACGTTAATAGCCGCGACATGGCCATCGACCTATGTCTATGTCTAGTCTACGTTAATAGCCGCGACATGGCCATCGACCTATGTCTATGTCTACGTCTACGTTAGTAGCCGCGACATGACCATCGACCTATGTCTATGTCTACGTCTACGTTAGTAGCCGCGACATGGCCATCGACCTATGTCTATGTCTACGTCTACGTTAATAGCCGCGACATGGCCATCGACCTATGTCTATGTCTACGTCTACGTTAGTAGCCGCAGCATGACCATCGACCTATGTCTATGTCTACGTCTACGTTAGTAGCCGCAACATGACCATCGACCTATGTCTATGTCTACGTCTACGTTAGTAGCCGTGACATGACCATCGACCTATGTCTATGTCTACGTCTACGCTAGCAGCCGCGACATGACCATCGACCTATGTCTATGTCTACGTCTACGTTAGTAGCTGCGACATGACCATCGACCTATGCCTATGTCTACGTCTACGTTAATAGCCGCGACATGAACATCAACCCCGGCAATACCGCGCTGATCCTGAAGTCACCACCAGTCATGACGTCACGAAACTGCTTCCGACCTCGACAGAGTGACCCTGACGTCACACACGGACCATGACATCACCACAAGCATGTCACGATAGAACGACGCCAACGCCACCACCCCGAAGTCACGCACTGAACCTGACACATTATGCCGACCCTAATGTCGCGCGGTGACATGACGTCACCGCGTTGAGTATGACGACACATCTGACTGACCTTGACCTCCACACTGTCCACGAGCGACGCCTGCGGCGGAATGAGATAAACGACGCGGCCCTGGCTGTCGGTGGTGAAGCTGCGGCACTGACGGGCCGTTGGAAAGGTCTCCGGTTCCTCCGTCTCCCAGATCAGCGGCATGTAGCCGAACTCGGCCTGCACGCGCTCCGAGTGCTGTCCGGCAGGGTGAGTGAGGTTCATTGATGTCCGGTCGGGGCAAGTCAGTTCAGTTCACAGCATATTGGATCAGGTCAAGTCAGTTCAGTTCACGGCATATTGGATCAGGTCAAGTCAGTTCGGAGTAGGATAGGACAAGGCAAGGGAAGCTGGAGCACAACAGCAGCATGAGGTATCGAGAAGTGGAACTATCAGGAGAGGATAGGGCAGGGTGTGCGAGATAGGGAGAGATGAAGCCGAATGGGGCCAGATTCCTAGGCAGGTCAGGCCAGGTCAGATAGGTCTGATCAATCGGTGTCTGGATCGATGGGATCTCGCAGTTATGTGTATCTTAATTGCAACTGAGAGAGCTGTGATGGGAGGGAACGGTGTTGTATGAAAACATACCACATCCGCCAAGGTGAAGACTACATCAAACCGTGTCCTTAACCTTACTAACTTCACAGCGCTTTTTCTAGCCGACATACCCTTTTATAAGCGTCAAATAAGGCATCATCAGGGGTCTTCCTGGGATCCGCCCCGCTCTGTCTGAAATGACATGTCATTGTCATTGTTCAATCGTTCCGTGTCATGGCACCATGCTTCTTTTCAAACTTATTCCCGATCATGAAAGCAATGCGTGTGCCCATTTCCTACCTTATAATGGTGCCAAGGATGTAGGAGAAAACTATGAAACAGCACTCAAAATAATTGTAAAAAAAACAGAGACAAACGTGTGCACCGGACACAAATTACATCTGTATAGGCGCGGGCTTCAGATGTGCCAGCAGCCAACACTTCACTCCCGCACAACGGATGATGAAAATACAGCGATCACCGCACTCACATGACAGGTCTCTCCTTATAGTTGGCGACGTAGCACACCGACACGGTCTTTTTGGCGAACGGTGTGCCATCGCGGTCTTTGACGTGGAACTGGAATGGTGCGACAGTATGTCGTATGCATCATCGCAGTTCTGTGAGGATTGGATACAGATTTTCTGTAGACGCACTCCAAATATTTGTATCCTATTGGAAAATCTCATGCATCGCAAAATGCGCGACGTCACAGTGCATGCATGCACATGCACATCCGCCATTGCAACATGCGTTGTTGCACTGTAAGCCCAGGAGCCTTGTTTTAGGAGCCAGGACCCTCAATCAGGCAGCCGAGTTACAAGCATATCTGCTGAGCTGCACAAGTCAGCACCAGCCGTTTCAACAAGGACTGACGTCATCATTGCACATACAACCGGTAGCTCAACCATCCTCCAACAACACATGTTAACCGAGGTCGTGGCAGCAGGAGTCATGACCTTCGTCAGCGCGCTCCGTGCAAACACAACACAAACTGACCCGGCCGTAGTAGGGCAGGCCGGGCTTGATGAACAGCTGGGTGTTGTCTGGAATGGTGACCGAGGAGAATTCGGAGAACTCTCTGCTCAGGGAGCTTGTCTCTGATTGGCTGAGACCCGTGCCAAACTCCTCCACAGTGACGTTAATGGTGGCCTAGAACCGAACAGGTGACACAGTAAATACAAAACCTAAAGCGCAGGCTGCATTTGTATCTTTTAGATAAAGCGTATATCGATTATCGCCTAAAAGTGTTCGTTCGATAGCCTATCTTGTACAACGAATCTAAGATGTAGCGAATTATCCAACGGTTGAGCAGCGATTCTAAATAGAAAAACAGCCTTATTTATAAACATATGCAGTGGAAATTACTGCAGTAGGTGAGCGAGCACTGGCTTAATCAAACATGTTAAGGTGTTTGGTGACACAGCACATCGAAGGCTAGCAAAATTTATATTTGGCAGCACAGCCCTGAAGGTATTTGCGTTTGCGAAGTGCCAGAACACGTGTCTAGGATCACTCCAAAGCTAGCAAACATCCGAACAGGCAGCTGCTGCGTGGACAGAGACGTACGTCGCACGAGTCAAGCAGACCCACGCTGCCCTTATCCCGCCACACTTATCATTCGTCTCATTATCATTTAAGCCCTCTTAGGGAAAGGTGAAAATGCGCAGAGTTGTCACTGTTGCGTTGTAAGATTCCCACGCCTGCTTGTCATGGGATGCAAAAAACACGCAAAATTTCATTTACATACAGCGGCGTCAGATAACAAGCAAGACGGGCGTAGACGCACACGGCGCTTTTTAACACGGAAAGACTGAGACAATAGGACCGAAATTTGCTATTTTATCTGGGTGACTCAGTCAAGATCAAACTGTGCGAGACCGGAAGAAAAGGGTGGAGAGAGGGAGAGAGAGAAAGAGAGAAAGGGAGAGAGAGAGAGAAAGAGGGGGAAAGAGAGAGAGAGAGAGAAAGAGAGAGAGAGAGAAAGAGAGAGAGAGAAGAGAGAGAGAAAGAGAGAGAGAGAGAGAGGAGAGAGAGAGAGAGAGAGAGAGAGAGAGAGAGAGAGAGAGAGAGAGAGAGAGAGAGAGAGAGAGAGAGAGAGAGAGAGAGAGAGAGAGAGAGAGAGAGAGAGAGAGAGAGAGAGAGAGAGAGAGAGGAGAGAGAGAGAGAGAGAGAGAGAGAGGATGAGAGAGAGGAGAGGAGAGAGAGAGAGAGAGAGAGAGAGAGAGAGAGTTTACGAAACATCCGAAATATGTCGGCAGCGTCCGCATTTCAGCGCCAGCATTTACGCTGCGAATCTCGCTCAAAATTTTTACACCACATGCGAATGGCAGGGCCCGGCCCATGCGCCCTTAAGAGGGGGCTTTGGGGACACACTCCGGGCACCTGAACGTGCGACCGAATAATTTCTCAGAGCGTAGCCGGGTGATAATGTATTTGGCTAGATGTCGTACAATCGCGACATTCCCTTGTTTACAGACGGGTAATCAAATCCAAGTCAGGATCTAACGGTGGAAGCCGCGCAGCCTTAAAGAGCAAGGCGTTTTATGCTCCCGACCGGTTTCAATTTGTGTGTTTGGGTCTTTGAACGCTACTTTTTTTTTGCTAGATTTAGCCAGTGCGCCAAGAGACATGTATTTGTTGTTTTCGGTAAGTTATAAATCAACTCGCCTATAATCATATACATGACCGTTTGTGACCTTGAGCCCCATTTCTCAAGCTAAAAAAAGACCTAGGTCCGTGATTTGCAAGGTTCGGGGTCCCTGACACAGTGAGGGCTCCTATGTCGCTAAGGGGCCACAGTGTCAAGCAGGGGTCCGTGATTTGCAAGGTTCGGGGTCCCTGACACAGTGAGGGGCTCCTATGTCGCTAAGGGGCCACAGTGTCGGGCAGGGGTCCGTGATTTGCAAGGTTCGGGGTCCCTGACACAGTGAGGGGCTCCTATGTCGCTAAAGGGACCACAGTGTCAAGCAGGGGTCCGTGATTTGCAAGGTTCGGGGTCCCTGACACAGTGAGGGGCTCCTATGTCGCTAAGGGGCCACAGTGTCGAGCAGGGGTCCTGTGGCGGCAAGTGGCCCCGAGTCGGAGCGATGTTTGAGGGGCCCGGAAAGGGGCCGAACGGTCTCCTGAGAGCAAGAATAAAGGGCCCGTAGGGATGGCTGAAGGATGCCAATGGATGACTGTAAAACACATTGGGGACCCCGCCCATAGGGCTGTGATCTCAAATGTCAGTAAGATAATCTTTTGCACTGGTGGGGATCCCTAAGACAGGGCGTTCCTCTATTTTGGCCAAAGATCACGAACAATGAACAGTCGGCTCCGTGTTGATCTGAGTTCTGTGGGTCTATTTCCCAACCAGGGACAGGTGCGGACCCGCGATTTACATTGGTTGGGCTCCTGTAGCGTTCAGGAGCCCACAATGCCTAACAAGATAGTCTGTGTCGACAAGGGGCCTTTAATCGGTCAGGGAAAGATTTGCTTTGCAGGGACGGGACGGAAGCCCAAATGGCAGAGGGCCTTTTGCGTTGGTCGGGGCCCCCTGACAATTCAAGGAAGCGTAAGAAATTGTGACGAGTGCTCACATTGATGTAGTAGAAAAGTCCTGTGTCAGTCAGGGCCCCAAGTGCCGAACGGTGGGCCCTCCAACCCTATTCCAGCATGGGCCCGTTAAGCCCAACTGGAGTCTACGTGCCAGTCATCTGACCACCTGCGGCGAACAGGGATGTTGTTGCATTAATGACGGTTGATTCGTCGATCCGGGGTCAAATTCGCGGAGATCAGAAGGCCTCTTGCGTCGGGGAGCGGACCAATGTGATATGATGTATCCCTGTAAGGGCCTCCGGATCGGCCAAGGGGTGCCACCCCGTGTCGCCAGAATGACGGCCGGAAAATGCACCGCGGTGGGACAGAATGGCCCTTCAGCCCTGCACCGGCAACAACAATGTGCCCCGCAGTGCTGTACTCGGGGGGCCCCTTCACCGGAAGGAGATAAGGGGTCTCATTAGTGCTGAACTGAGTCGGTCGAAATGAGAAACGCACACGGCCATCCCATGTTTTTCTGAGGACGTTTATTATGTTGCAGAATCGACTAACGAAACAAATACCATCAGAAGGTTTAGCCTGTGCGCCGGGTACCGATCGTGCAGTGGTGCTGGTGCTATAGCAGGGCTGTGTGGCGCCGCCATGGTGAGAGGCTGGCGGCGCCATGCAGCCCCAGCAGTTGGGGACGTCATAAAGCCCCAATAAAATGCTCGTAATCTCAGGGAGCGCGGACATCGACGGCTTGGGTCGCAGTTTTTTTTAACCGAACGGCGTTAGCCACTGCAAGTAACGCCAGAGGCGGGCGGCGAGCATGCAGCAATGGCCATCGTTAAGTAATGCCTCTATATGTCTTTCAAAATCAATTCGCACAGCTCAAAGATTGCACTGGACGAGTCTTTTTTCAAAACTTTGAGGATGCCCTTTGGACAGATTAACAGTTACAGCAGCACTGCACATAGAGATGTTAGCCTTCCTCCTCCAATCCCACCGCCAGCTCCGGAACCACTTGCGGTGCTGTGAAGACCAATACGTCATCGCCATCAGTCTAAAAACCGCGCAGGTGACACAGACGCCCGAAAGAGCAATGACGCTTCGGACTTTTGAATGTGACGCTTTTGGACGCTTTTGGACGTCTAAATCTGCGATTTGACGTCTAAAAGCGTTTAAACGTATTTCTTTTAGTTGCGTCACCATTTTCGTCCACCTGTTGGCCACGGCCCAGTGTTAGCAGCTAGGCCGACACTGCGCGGCCCAGGGAGACCGCAGCGCCTGGCGTGGAGGTTTTTATTGCTAAGATATGCGACTGCGCATGGTCAAAACTACGTTACATGACATGTACCCTAAGTAACTCTGACTGAAGGTTGAACACATCCAGATAAATGTGGTTTGGCCATGTCGATGCAAACTGTTGACCCATTTTGATCCCCAAACTACATTCGCAGAATCCTTGCTATCTGCGCACACCCTAGATATAAATTTTGGCAAAGCTTCTGAGTCACATCGGTTTAAAAAGAGTTCAATGGACCATGGCAACATGAAGAGCGCCAGCGATGTATTTCTCCCCTCAGTGAACGTATGAATTTGTCAGTTTATTGACTATAAATTTAAGACAGAATTGGTCTTGCGTAGCTACTATATATATATATATATATATATATATATATATATATATATATATATAATGTGTGTGTACCACATCCAACAAAAAATGTCCTTGATAGCAAGTGGGGCGTATCCAACCATTTTTTGGAAGCCCCTTTAACTATCATGGGGCCCTTTGTGAACCCTGTGCCCCGTTTGCCAAGGCTCTGGCTGTGCTCCTGCCTGCACGCACGTGTGCGTGTTTTTATTGCTGCCCTGGGCTCATCACAAACACAGGCCCAGGGTGGCACATGTGTGTGGCATTTACTTGCATCCGAATTATTTCTTACTTACTCTATCGAGAGGACCGAACTTCAGTTTATTCACAACCAGATCTGATGAGCTGCAACCTGCCTCGTCCGTCTGCAACAACAGTAACGCGTCGGTAACGCGTTATTTGGTTAACGTTAACGCGTTAACGCGTTAACTTTAACGTTAACGCGTTAACGCGTTGGTAACGCGTCGCGTCCAAAACAACAAAAACACGGTGCTATGTCTCGTATGTAGCAAAATATACACGGTTACATACCTCGTATGTAACAACACAAACGCGTCAATACGTCTCGTATGTAACAACACAAACGCGTCAACACACCTCGTCTGTAACAGCACAAACAAGGCAACATATCTGGTCTGCAACGATACAACCAAGGTAAAACACCGCGTCTGTAGCAACTCACACAGGGCATAGACCCGGATATGCACAATACTGACGGGTACAGTGGTCAAGTGTCGGCCGCGTGAAAAAGGAGGGTTTGGGTTCTCATCAGACGGTGATAGCAATAATCCGCCCTGATCAGCATTGGTTTGTTGACAAGAACAAAAACAAACTTTTGTCCATGGTAGGAAGCTGCAAAATGTTTTCCACGCTCCCTCGCCGTGTTACGTTAGATCTTGGCGTACGTTTCGTCATGCCTTTCTTCTCTCGGTAAAGCAAAATATTGTACGATATCTTTAGACACATGGGTTCGATTGTCTTTGATATGCGTTTTTGGGCGACATCCAGAAAGCTTTTCCATCATCATTCATCGTGCTTACCATCCTGATTTTGATGTTAGACAAGACCTGACGTAGCCGCCCTTCTGTCTATATGGTAATGCGTTCAAGGGAGCGTTCCACATTTGTATGGCATTTGAACTATAAAAGCCAGCATGAAGATCGTTCGGTGCAGTTCACAGCCCCGCCCTCCTAAGCTCTAAACCGCTATGGTTTCTGAGCTACGCGCCCGTGAAGATGAGCGTAGTATTCCGGGAAGACTATTTCAAGTCCACCCAGGCATCCATGACGCCATGCCATTCAACAAATAGCCATTCCAATACACATGCGGTGATCAAGGCCAGAGCACATATTATTGTTGAATCGTTCATATCTGGCGTCCGTGAACACGATTTCCCGATATCACAGCGGCAGTGGGTTCTGAATCAATGTTGTGCAAGGTACGATGACGCAATCAAAACAATGACACACTGAGGGGATTATTTACTTAACAGATAAATTGTGTTGTCCAGAGAAGCTTTCCAGTTAAAGAAAAAGCCAATAGCATATTTCGTAAGTGAGCTTATTTCATCGTATCTTATGCTTGCTTCAAAATCTTTAGATGCGAAATATTCCCTTTAATAGCAGGGGCGAAGGCGTCACGAACATGACCCCGTGACCGTGCCGCCGTGTCGAGATGTCACCGACACTTGTCACAATGCTGCGGCCCGCTCCGCCACCGACTCACCGTGAGGCTGTTGCTGACACTGCTGTCACGGCCTCTCGATCCCGTCACGTTCACCGTCACGTTGGCCCCAATCAAGGGTTTGCCGAAGGTGTACCTGAGGTGGACAAGGTCAGTGTACGTCAGCTCATGCTGGTTTAAGCCAGTGATCTTGTGTTGTGCAGCCAGTCGAAGAAAAAATTCACGGACCGCAATAACGGAGACCACCTATACCGTGGCAGTCGGCATAACCGGTCATTAACGAAGACCACCTATACGGTGGCGGTCGGCATAACCGGTCACCAACGAAGACCACCTATACCGTGGTAGTCGGCATAACCGGTCTTAGTCACAGCATTGGAACACGCCGCTGCAAAAGGCCTTTTGCGAGCCCGTCTGAAAGCCAAACCGGTTCCTTCGAAAACGCTCTAGACTCCCAGAACCGTGCGTTGTATATTAGGTGGGCGAGATCTTCCAATTTTCAGTACTTACACCCATGCACGGATCCGTACAGTGGTGGTAAAAACGGGTTTAAGTCGACACGTAAGGAGAGGTCAGCAACTGTCTTGGGGCACACTTGGTTCAGCTGCAAATTACAGAACACATCTTTATATAACCGGTGGTGTCTTCATGATGAGCATTGTCATGCAAGAAAAGCTTACATCGAAACATTTTTACATGCTTCAGGCATAGCTTTCCACCGAACATAATGGTTAGGTGCTCGTGTAAGGTACTGAACATTTCGGCACTTTGAGATCACAGGATTGATGCATGACTGTGAACTATGGTACGTGCTTGCTTGTTGTGTGGCAGTTTCGGCAGCCATAATCAGTTCAATTGAGCTCACTTTGACACGCTGACGCGCATTTCAATATGACGCTCTGACGTCTGCCTGCCATAAGGGCCCCTATAGCGTTCAGACGCCTACCTGTCATAAAGACCCCTATAACATTCTGACGTCCACCTGACATAAGGGCCTCTATGACGCTCTGAAGTCTGCCTGTCATGAGAGCCCCTATGACACCCTGACCGGTACCTGCCCTAAGGGCCAGACGCATGGCGTGCAGAAGATTCCGACCTGATGCTCTAATGAAGTAGGTGGGAGGTAGAGGCATGCTCATATCTCTCACATTTTTTTGTTGCAAATTTTATGTGTTCATCAATGCCAGAGTGTTCGTCCACTACTACACACTACACTACACCCATCCTACAGTTGTCTCACGCCAAACTCCTGTTACTACCAGCCTGTTGCAGCTCATGTTGCAACTTGTGTCATGCTTTACCTGCATTTATCACGGCAAAAAACCTTTGGATAAACACAATGGCGTTGGGCGGCCGTGATATGGCATTGTATGCCATGTTAAATTACCCGGACAAACACATCCTTTCAACTACAATGCCCCTGCTGTGCTGGTGAGGTACGGGCCAGGGGTGACAACAATGCAGTCGCAGTCCCTCATGCTGACCGGCGAAACATCTGCCGAACACGCGACATCTCAAGAGCACTGCCATGCATCGGAGCCGAAGCAGAACAGGTCAGATGTCAGAGGTTGTGTTACGGTGCACCCCAAACAAACAAGCTGCCATTTGCGTCCCCCCGTCCCCATCACACGGAGGCCCGACTCCTTCTGAAACAGCACATTGGACAGCAGTGGGCACGTACGCATAAATCGACATGAGCAATGAAGGGCGGTAGTCAGTTTGTCCCATCGTCCTGTTTTCTTAAACAGCATGATAATTAAAACGCGTCAGCGATCCCCGCTCAGAATATTTACTAACAGAACACGCGAGCCGTGTAAGCTGTCCCCACCAAAAGCAAAGTAAAAGCTCAAAGTCAATTTCTCAAGGCCGACAAATCACACGAAGGCTTTCTTTGTATCCGAGAAATTTGTGACGGCAAATCGTCACCATCGACTATCGCAGATTATCTCTTACATCGCCTGTCATTAAGGTGGTTTCAGTTAAATCACGTTTGACCCAACATATGAGCAAAAGTGACATACTACTGTGTATACCTCATGCGGTGCCTCCATTGTTGCTACTGCCTGCCTGCGAAAACGTGGCGATGTCTGTGATACTGATCTATGTCTTGAGCGTTGTCTGGGGGAAACACGTTTCCAAAGGTGGCCTATCAACTCCTTCAGCTGTGGTTGCCATGACCCGGCATTCAGACGACCCCCGCCCAGGCAGCATTTTCAGAAAATGCATCCTTTCAACATTGCATTAGCAAGGCTATTGGGCGCGGGACAAATCCGCCGTCCCCTATCCAGGCCTTGCCAATCTTGCATGCACCTTTTGCGTTTCATGTCTTGTCCTCTCTGATTTTGTATCGATCCAGCCGTGCGGAGGCTGCAGAGGCCAGGGCGCTGTGCTCTCAAGTTCCAAACAAATTTGACATTGGCTCCATGGGTGTTGCTTGGAAAGAACATGTCAAACAATGCTATCCTCCTTCTGCTTGGGAGGACTTTGAGGACTAAAATTGGGCACAAGTGAGTTGATATCAAACGCTACCTACACTGAGTTTTGGGCCTCTAACTTTCTTACCTTGTGAGAACTGAGCCGGGTCGAACTAAATCCTTATCTCGCCACACCCGAGCGCATCGCACTCAAGTCAGCCACCCGGGCGCGTGTGAAATCTCTCGAAAAACAATGTGTATTAGACTGGTATTGCACAACTGGGCTTGTAAAATAAGCGTCGTGGTGAACAGCTTTGCTTGGCAGAGTCTCTGGTTCATCACGCTCTCTTGTTCGAAACACACTGTCCGATTTTTTGCAAGCGAAATAATTGGAAAACGTGGTGAACAGCCGATGACTAGCCAAGAGCACCTTCATGTTTACATAGGTGTCACTCACAGTGGTGAAGAAAAACAACGCCTTCAATATCTTGTGCTATTCGTACTGTAGCATATTATGCGGCATCAAACGCACTAAGTGTGAAGCTATTAGGCGGCAATAGAAGCACTTGGAAGACACTTGAAAGGCAAAGCTCCCACCACATCATGGTGTGGTGAACCATAAAAATGAATGTTTCCAGGCGCGGCAAAATGTCTTGGACAGGAACTCTGTGAAAATGACCAGTTGATGCACCGTCTGCCACACCTCAAACTTATGGCGCAATTCTGCCCGCCACACATCGAGTATTGCTTTTGGCGCTTGCGTCATCAGCTATTGCACAGTCGGTGTCGGTGCTTACTTGGTCGGTGCTTACTTGGTGCATCAGTCAGTGCTTACTTGGTGCTTCAGTCAGTGCTTACTTGGCACAGACGTCGACGGTGACAGTCTTCTCTCCGGGAAGCAGGTATTCTGGGCTCTTGACCTTGACCTCGAAAGTCGGCAGCACATACTCTTCCACAATAAAAGCTTTGGTTTCAAATCGTCTAGAGGTCTCCACGTTGATAGTCCACCTGCCCTGAAAGTCAATGGTAAATGCTGCTGAAATGCCTCCAGCAGTGTTCGGGTGCATTTAGGCAGCTTTTGCCGTCTTGGGGACCTTTGTGCTGTCGAGTCGAGTCATGTGCCAATGCATTTTAGTAGGATGGCGGCAGGCGGCTGAATAGCTTCATCAGGGACATCTCTTCGATCCGAACGTGATGCCACCGGGGGGGGGGGGGGGGAGGAGGTGGGTCTGCACTACGGAGGACACTTGACCTTCATGTGACCTCACCAGGGGAGACCCCTTCGTCCGAGGATCACCTCACTACGGGGCAGGGAGGAGAGAGGCGGGGTGTAACTGCACCAGGGCGACCCGTCGGCTTTTGTGTGACCTCACCAGGGGCGGCTCCTCGGTCAGCTGCACCTCCAGCTGAATCAGGCCTCCACTGGTCTTGATGTCCTTCCACTGGGCGATGCGGATGCGGTCTGGCGTGCCCACCCACACCTCAGGAAACTGAGAAGGCAGTCGTCAACAGGTAACCGAAAACGTCCGACCCACAGTTTGAGCTGAGCTTCGCAGTGCTGCCAATGCGTTGCTGTTAATGGCAACCTGAAATAACACATCAGAACGCTTCGCATCACAGGCACCTATTACCACTGAATACGCTCGGTAGGGACGTCAGGGGCCTGCACCACCACCCGCCTGTGTGTTCCGTGACGATAATTACAGTCATCCAGTACCAATCAGTGGACATAGCCGATATCCCGCGGTGAGGAAATACTCCTGGCGTGCGGCAGTCACAGCGTTCGGCAACGCCCATGCATGACGTTTGACAAAGCAAAGGTCTAAGGCCAAAGAGCGAAGGTCAAAGGCTAAAGCAAGGTCTGACGGCTCACGTTCTCGACGACGGGAGTGAGGTCTTGTCGAAGGGATATGATACGAATCAGGACTTTATCCCCTGGGCGGTATCGAGGCTTGTCCGTCTGAATCAGCGTCACCAGCGTGGAGCTGTAGATGTTCACCTGCGAGGCCGGAAAACAGGACAGTAAAAGCACATATACGCAAAGTAGGTAGCCTGCAATACGATGAACGCCCTTTGGAACCGGCCCGGCGAAACTAGCTGGCCCGTGCAGCAGGTGGAGCCGGGGCCCGTTAAGGTGCTGCATCTCTTTCGTTCATGGCAGGCACGTCAGTTTAGTGAAGCGTTCTGTCCTCACTTTGTTTTTACCAGGTGGGGTTGACGCCCCAAGACACTCACCGAGCCAGTGCCCAGTTGTGACAAATCATAGCTAGGTGTCAAGGTTATATGTTTAGTCATGTTAGCTCAATCCGGTGTCAGCCTTCACAACAAGTGAGGAGGTCTCATGCAGAATGTAAGTTACCGGTAAAATGTCCGATCTGCGTGGGGCCGAGGATCCCAAAGCAGTTAAACCCTCCTCTGATGGGCTTCGCCAGACTCGTCAACAAGGACTCTCGTTTGTCACCGTCATGGGGCTAAGTCCGAGCGTGTTGAACTCGCACGGCACAGTGTTTGCACCTGCGGACGGCACACTCCGCAGTTCATATAGATGGATGCACGCTTAGTTTATCTGCTCTGATTGCCGAGGTGTGATATTATCCTCCAAAAGCGACGCCCAACGTTGAAACGTCCATGGTTTGCGCTGGAGCGAATGTGACAGTATAGAATAGCAGCAATGGCAGCAATGACACCCGAATAGCAGCATGGCACCCGAGACGACGCAGTGTCTCAAAGTATGGGTGGGCTCCCACTTACGGAACACGTGATATTAGGTAGGTTGTTAAGTGCATTTGGGAGGAGCGTTATGCAAATGGATATGAAAGCAATAATGACATTTTTCCTCGAAGAAAAGCCAAGAGAGTAGATATATAGATGCGTTAATATTCCGGCAACATTCATCTATCCAAACAAATATCAATAGTTAATTCAAAATTGACTGCCGATCCTAGTCGGTTTCCCAATTTCTTTAACAACGGGCCACAGATGTATGGGGCCACCGACATTCAGGGTATTAAACAAGGAGCCATTGCTAGCGATTGATAGGGTACAGTACATGTCTGACTAAGGATTAAAATGCGCGAACAATACGTGTACGTGCACGCGAATTCAAGTTAAGAGGCATCACGCATTATACTTCATTCAAACATGTAAATGATTTCCATTAAACAAGCATCGTGTATCACGTGCAAGACATCATTCATACGTGCAAAAGATTTTAAGCCAGCATGCACCACACATCAAGGCATTTATCAAACTTGCATAATCGACCATGATGGGAGGAATCCATACGCCCTATCCATTTGAGACATAATGAACGCCTGCGAGACGCTAAAATCGACACAAGGAATACCCCCTTCAGAGACCATTTTCGGCAAAACACCTTTAGGCTGAAATCCAGGGAGGTAGGGACCATATTATCCTTTTATAGCTCAAAGTCATACACAGAGGAAAATACCATCCTGATAGGAAATAAGTGAATCCATTCTTATAAAAAGTCGACGACCATACCGTAAGGCACAGAGCTCATGATTGGGTGGGGTCAGCGAAAGGTATACTCCCAAAGTAAAACAGGCCCTGTTAGATTACATTACAGTGACATCAAACATCCTCGGAAGCGTACAGAGCACCAAAGTCTTGCCGAAGTATCGCACGGATCATTTTGTGGTGTGCATAGACTTAGTAGTAAAGCAACGTAGCAAAAAGAAAGTGTGGTGTAAATTCAATGTATCTCTTCCTAGAGACGACAGTCACTTGTCACAGATGAAATACGGTATTTGCCATTCCGGAGACTTATCCCGTTAAATATTGGCAAACCCAGAGATAATATCAAAGCGACGGGCCGATAAAGCTGCTTAAAACCACATGCAATAAAATATCAACAACATTTGCACCGGTCTGAGGCGGGTGTTGTCATCACTTGTCGGGCCAGAGCAAATGGGTTTTGTGCCAGGCAGATTCCGAGGTAGTACAACTAGGCTGGCATATCATGCTGTGCATTATGCGTCAACATCATATGATGTGCAACATATGATGCTGTGATGCTGTGATCCCGGTTGGAGAATGTCATTTTCATGCTTGATTGGAACGATAAAAGACACAAAGTACGGCAAGGTATATTGACTTTGCCCAGCCGCCAGGTGGCCACAATATGGTAGACTGAAGAAGCTACACTTTCATTATTTTTTAAAGCGAACGCGACGCACGCCATCACGCCCTTTTATGAATTGTCAACGGCTGCATCGGCCATATTGGCGCTCAGGGGCCATGACGACACCGAGCACGTCTCCCCCCCCCCCGCTTCGTGGTCCAACGCGCTGGCCACTAGGCCCGTAAAGGGGGTGTTCCACGTTCATGCGGGTACTGACACTGAAAAATGAAATAGCAGTCTGAATACCTTTCGGTGCCGTACACAAGCCTGCCCTTCTTATGACCTAAGCTTGTCTAGTTTCTGGGCTGCACACCCGCAACACTGGGTAAAGGCATATTGGGGAGAGAATTTCAGTCCCTCGGCACACCAGACGTCACAATAACATCATTCAAGTTCTACCATTCATTTCCATTCCATAAGCCATGCGGCGATCAAAGCCAATCAAATACATTTGTCGAGGCGTTCATATCTGGTGTTCGCGAGCGCGATTTCCAGATAAAGCAGCCGTCAGTTGGCTCTTAATGTTATGTAAGATACGATGACGTTATCAAATCCTTAAAAACGTTAAAATCAAATCAAAATAAAAAATCAAAGCGTTAGAAAGTTATCAAACCATGGTGCATTGAGCGGCATATTTACTCATCAGAGCATTGTGCTTTCTAGGGCAGTCTTTTCCGCTCAAAACATATAACAAAACTTATAAGTAACATGATGACACCATGTTTGATGTGCTGCGATGATAATACTCAGGTAATGAGTTTATTTTATAAGGTATTTCTTGAATTTTTTACTCCTGCGTTTCCGGGATGGTGCGATTTAATGGTCGAGTTTCATCGGGCGAAAGAAATGCGTGGAATAAAATTCTCTACCAGGCTTTGCTGGTGTTTTTACCAGGGTTCACTTTGGTGGTGTGGTGCTTGCGTGGTGGGACCAAAAAACGGGTGATTCGTGAAAACCTTGCATTTGGCACACAGCTGTATATTGTAAAGCATTTTGTAAACAAACCAAACTTGATGTATGCAGGGGGCTGGAGTCGTTGAGGGTCTTGGGCTTGGAGGTACCTGGTGTCCTTGCTCTGTGTATACATGGACATGATTCAGATGTAGGTGATGTAGGATATAGCCATAGGTGTCCAGATTGTGTGGAACATTGTTTATTACTAAATGTTTTCAATTGAGCTCGGTTTTGGATGAGATCTGAAAACCTTGTAAAGGGAGGCATGGGTTTGGTATATGCGGTTAGACAACAATAGGTAGAGGTGGAAAATTGACCTAAAATATGGTAAAAGGAGTGAAAAATCCTGCTTATAGGGTGCTGCTTTACACCCAAAGTCGGCAATTCTAGAACATTTATCAGATATGGTTATATAAGCTTACTTATAACTATTGGTATGCTTAAGTGGAAAAGACTGCTCCAGACAACACAATTCGTCTCTATAGTAAGCACGCTCATCAATATGTCGATGCGTCTTTGTACATATGGTCATCAATATGTCAATACGTTATCTGCTATTGCTTTCATGAAGGCATGTTGACAAACAACAACGCATCTATATGTTCATTCTCCTGGTTTTCTTCGAGGATAAAGCTATTACTACTGTCTTATTTATGTAAATAATGTTCCTCGCACATGCACTTGACAACGTTCGTAATTTATCTACGTCATTGTTTGACTGAGTCATTGTACCTTGCACAGCAGTGACTGAGAGCCCGTTGACGGCCGCGATACCTGGACGTCGTGCTCATGAACGCTGGATATGAACGACTCGCTTAATACATATTTCTGAGCCCTGAGCGCCGCCTGGGCCATGAAAGAGCGGCATTTGAATGACGTTATCACGGCGTCATGAATGCCCGAGTGACCTTGAAATAACCTTCACGAAAAAGTGTGCACATCTTCGCGGGCGTATAGCTCAGAAACTAGAGGAGTTTGTGCCTAAAGAAAGGCAGGGCTGTGAAGTGCACCGAATGATCTTCAACATGGTTAATTCAGTCCTGCCTCATACAGATGTGCAACACTCCTTTAAGGCCCGATTACTTGCGCTCGTGTTGAGTATTATAAAATAAAAAAGCGAAAAACGGATCCTGTTCTGTCCACTGCTGTCTGTTGCCCGAGTGGTATTGCGTGATGGAGCGAAGCGAAAGCTGATGGCAAGTATTCTGAAAAGAAAACGTAATGAAATCCTGGCTATGATTTGCCATCCCTTGGACGTGGATACGCGACATAAAAACCCCGACGCTCATAGCGCAAAGAGTACATACACGTCCTTGCAACATCTCGCATGCCAACCTCGGCTGAGTCTGAGAAGCGCAGCCCCGCAGCGTTGGCAATGTTGAAATCCAGGTCGTTGTGCCGTGAGACCGCAGTGCGGGGCAGGGGCAGATAGAAACAGTGATTGCCATCAGCTGAGGAAGACGACAAAGTCAGTGCGACAGCCAATCAGAGGGGCCGATCGGCAACCGAGCCAATCAGATCGTCCGTGTGAGCTGATAACAGGCGATTAGTGTGGTAATGGCAAAAAATTAATAGCCAATCACAGCAGAACAGTCCAGTATACTATGTTTCTAAAAATATGTGATACTGAACTGTTGCTGGCGAACAGAATAGCAGCCAATCAACACGACCACATATTAACGACGCAGGATTGCTTCACGAACGTCACAAATGGATTAGCTCTATTTGCCTCTCAAGATCCTCCTACCTACTCAAGTACCCAAATCCAAATTCCAAAATATCTGCTGTACGTTTTTGGGCTCCTGCCTAACTACCCACTGTAGACAGCACTTTAAAACTCACCATCAACATTGTCCGGTATCTGGTGCACCAGCACATAGGACTCACCATCAACATTGTCCGGTATCTGGTGCACCAGCACATAGGACTCACCATCAACATTGTCCGGTATCTGGTGTACCAGCACATAGGGATTCCCGTTATAGAGCGAGAAAGTGAAGGTTACGTTCCGCCCCGGCCCGGGCAGGTTGAAAAGCGTGACGCAGACGCGCTCGTTGGTGCCCGCCTGTAGCAACTTGGGCGCCGTGAAGAGGAAGCCGCTGTAGAAGGAGGTGACGTCACCGATTAGACGCACTGAATATCCGAGAGGTCGAGCATTACAGCCGGATGTCCGACAGGTCGGGCATCGCAGCCGGATGTCCGAAAAGTCCGGCATCACAGCTAGGCCGACTAACTTACAACTAAAGAAATTTTCGGACAAAGTCAACTCAGGCATCATGACGAGTGTGGCAAGGTGTAACTCCTGTCAGAAAAATTATTGACGTCGTCCGAGCCAAAGTCACTCGCTCGTGACATTGCAACCGGGCGTGGAATTCACGATGGTACCACCAGACATCCTGCTCGGCTCGCATCTCCTCCGACACCCCCAATGGTAAAAGGCGTAGGTTTGATTGCTCGGTCGAGCGTGCATTATATGATTCTCCGGCAACTATCCGTGAAATGGACCCTGCGCACTTTAAGGTCGAGGTCAGAAAAAAACATAACACGAGGACAGGTAGGCACTGACTTGGTGACTGACTACTCTGCCATGACTACTCATGTATGACCACATGTATGATTTGTGTTGTTCGTGAGCATTATCCACATGACCCGCCATTTCATGTATTGTCTGACGCTAGGCTTGGAATAGAAATACTGCATGTAGTTGTCTCGTGACGCGTACAAATACAAGTACGAATACGGGCAGTGAATGGCAGATGCCGTGTTCATTTGCTTACGGGCACATAACAAACCATTGTGTACCGAACGGCATAGAATGGCATATCATATAGTCGATTTAATCGATGTATCGATGGCATCAGTTTGCTTGCATTGCTAAGGTGCTGGACGGAAATGTGACGAGAGGGACGAGACAATGTATGACCCTGATCGCTTAAATGATTGTACCTCACGGCCCACCCTTATTTTCTTTACAGTATGGTTCATTTGCCAACCTTAAATGCCAAACACCTGCCAATGCTGCATGCTGTCCTCAGCTTGCATCCCTTACACCGCTCCCTTTTAGCCTCAAGTCAGATTTGTCTGTGAATACCTACACGCTGGAAACATAGCCTACATCTCTGCCGACGTTTCATTTCACAAAAACGATCGCTTTCCGCGTGGCTTGTTGTACACAGAGGTTTTAGTACAAAAAAACGAGAATCCCATTTGGCGAATGCCTTTTCTGTCGTCCGCCAAATAGTGGTACGTAAAAAGTTCACGTAGCAAGAAGTCGAAACGGCTACAATGCGCATTTAAAAAAGCGCAATGTATAAACTCGACATGACAAAATGGCGAAAAACCAAATGGCTGCACATTAAAAAAGCGACATGCCAAAGTGACAAACGGCTTAATGACAAGCTGCAAAATAGCGACCTGGCAAAACATTGATACGTCATATTGACGAACGGCAGAACGGTTAAGTACAAAAGGATAATATCTAAGCGTTGTGCTGGCGAATGGTGACATGGAAAACGCGGACACGTCAATATGCTGGCTGGATGGCTGGCTGTTTCGTGACGTGGCGTGGCCCGGACGTGACTTTAAGTATCATGCTAAATTTGAACGAAAGAGAATCCTGTAGCCTACATGATTCTACAGGCTGTAGGTACCTAATATTTTGTCATGCCAACTCTTTCAAATGTCATGTATATGCTGTCAACATGCCTGCAAACATTTTAGATGTTTTTTGAAAGGAAGGCGCCGTGATTATGATAAAGAACAACTGACTGCAATATGCGGCAGGTTTTAAGAGTGCGGGGTGTCACTTACACAAATCATGTAATCGTTTCCCCGAAAATGGAAAGCGTATGTGCCGCAAAATCGCGGTCGTGGTGGTTATACCACGCGACCAGCGACAGTGGTAGACATCAGTGATCCCTTACTGTGATGTCCTAAAGAGAATTTTCCGCGAATTATGCCTCTTTCTAAGCTTTTAACAAAAAGACAGCTCACATTAACTTAAAATGCGGAATAATTTGTTTCGCATGTAAGCAGGTGTAACTTTATGAAGTGTTCCAAAAGTTTTTATTTTATTCTGACATGGTGCACGTAGATTCAAGGGGCAGAAATCCGCAGAGAAAGTAAGTTTTGAGATAGGTTAGGCCAGCCTTTTTGTCTGAGTCCCGACACCGATTTCAAAAGGGACACTCCTATGTACTTAAATAAAATCGACAGCATCTTGCAGCGCAGAATGGCATCAAATAAGCCTACTTAAACCCAACCACAGTCATGGTTAATGGAATTTCCCAATCTGGTAATCGGATGGGACGGCCAGGACCCGCGGCATAAACTGCTTAGCGTGGTCATTTTTCCAAAAATATACTCTTTCTTAACATTAAAACTGTTGTGGTTACTGCGATTTATTACGGACAACTTTAACAGCATCATCATCAGCAGCAGCATTACGTCATCTCTCTTCGCCAACAACACCACTGCTACACAGATATAGCTCGGGTCGGAAACCAACATCATTCATTTTTTATAGGCTCCAATCGTCTGTACGTTCGAAATCCATAAACAGAGGGCAGGTTCTAATTTTCACGCTGATCCCAACGTCGCATTAGCAAACCCACGTCTACTTTTTGCTGGGTGTTCTGCCACGACCTGCTTTACCATGGCGTAGAGTTTTCGCTGCCTCACGAACCACACAAACACAAACATTGCTTATATCTTGTAGCATTTTAACAAAGTCGCTTTTTTAGTCAGTCAAATGGTGACAAGCTAGGATGTAAGTGAGAGCATGGCAAGAAAAAAGTAATCTCTACACTTTGGCAGGAGCTTACTGATGGTTGATGTCAGCCTTACGCAGCAGCTAGTGGACTCCCTACCGTAGAGGGAAAGAAACGGGAGCCGTGTTTTGGCAAAGAGAGCCCTGCTGGACGCAACCTGGACGCAATCAAATGGGATCTGGGCGTATATTCGGCAAATGTGTCGTGTGGGTGCCCGAAAAATTATGAAAACTGCCACCAAAACTTGCCAACAAATAGGATTCTCCCAGGATTTGGCCCAATTTTCTCCCAAAGTTGTGGGGGTTGAAGCCTGTTTGTGAACGGGGGGCGGGGGCGCTAAAGCCTCGACAACTGAAAAAACACCGCACCCCTGTATACAATTTTACCATTCAATGTTGCCAAAGAGCCTTCGCGCCACCACATCAACTTTTGCCATGTCACCATTAAGGTTTTCATCATTTTGGCATGTCGCCATTTTCCCATTTCGTCATTTATTCAAAAAAGTAAAGGCACTGTTACACATTTGTCTAGGGTTTCCGACAGTTTTCACGACGACATGCAGATCACAGCTAGGCCCTTTTGATGACCTGAAATCCTCTCGTTTCTGAGCTAGGCACATGATAACTTGTGCAGCCTAGTTTGCGCCGCCCATTTTGAAATCGTCAGGATGCGTACGATGTGACGCCACACAAAATTCACCTCCTTATTGACCATATCGTGCTCCCGGGCAAGACAAATAGAACCAGTGACTTTTCGTGCCTGAACCGGGCTCTTTAGCGGCACGCCATTGGTCGGAGGGGGCAAAGTTGACACCTGCTCTCAAGCACGGCCGGGCCAAATCAAAAATTCAGATCGCGATCCATAGCGTCATGACGAGAGGTTTAGACTACACAATATATTTAGGATTATGTGTGTATCAAGGACACATGTCAAGGCCAAATTCTAAAAACGTTCCCAGGAATGTCTGACCGCTCCCACGTGGTATTTCATTTAGAAACGCATCCCATGGTGTAAAACAATGGCGCCTTGATCGCAGGTGCTACATGCGAGGGCATCCAATGTCACGCGCGCCATACCAGGCCTGGACTCAACGCCACGTGCCGTGCAATTAGAGCCGAAGCCTCGGTGAAAACGTTTGTAGTGGTCTACCTATTACCGTCTTACCTGAACCGTTTAAGCGCGAAAGTGGGAGAGCTTAGCTGCAATTTTGTGTACCAGGCACGTGAGCAAGAGTTGTTACTTGTTCATTAGCTCTCTAATGTCGAAGTCAAATTGATGGTTCGGTTGTGAATAAGCGTTTGAATGCACGTTCATGGCGTGATTACTAAATGGAACGCCAGACTATCCAGTTAGGTGTCCGGCAAGCCATTCAATCATGCCATAGGAAACCATCGGACTTGCAATTTTGAAGTGAATAGTGAGTGTAGATGCAGTGATGAGGTTGGACGATCAAGGTAAGATCACGTTGACTTTATCAAAAATGGAGGGCCAAATAAGTCCTGGCCCGTTTTGTACTGTCCTAAAATGGCATTCCACAGCTCTGCTACAAGCGATTATGCACAAACCGCAGTGAAAGCAAACTGCCAGTGCTGACGTCACTAGCGCAACTGCCACCGCCACCGGTACAACCCTCGTCACCACCGATGCCGCCACCGCCACTACCCACCTCTCCGCTGGTCTGGCTTCTCGTTCTCTTGATAACGGACATGGCGGCCAGTACTTCGCTCCTAAGCCCCAATGAGTGGGCTACACGCCATTTCGTGTCCCCTGTTCAGCAGCAGTACTGTCAATGCGCTGATCCCGGCGACGCCCAGTATCAAGAGAAGACTTCAGTCAGCCAGAGTCGCGGAAGCGGCCTTCCCATGTAACGTTTGATCCCTGCGTCCATCACGTCCATGCCTTTTTTCGTTGCGTTGTACACAAACACGATCTCAAGGTTCTTTGTGTTCCTGCCCACCTTGGGCGCCTGGTGCTGAGAAAACAGCAGCAGCACCAACTTGCTTCGCCGGAGCAGTGTGATGTCATCGTCACACCGTTCCTGAACGTGTGACGAACGTGTGATCGAACGTGTGAACGAACGTGAACAGCATTGACTCAGATATCAGGCCCCCGACGTCGGTCATCACCTTCGGCACGCCCCGCGGCGGGCGCGGTTGATGGTCCAGATGACTGTCAGCCTGTCAGCAGATTCTCGGAAAGCGGCGTGGAGGTGAAGTACCGGTCCATAGTCAAGTTTTGCCCGGTGCTAGACAACTCTTGCGTCAAAAACCGGACCATGGCCGGTACATCCTCCAGCACACCATCCTAGCGTGCCAGCCTCAGATGCGCCGACTTGCCTGCTGGCGAAAACATTTTCCACACGTAGCGGACGTTGGCGTCTGCAACCGTAAAAGCAGGCCGAACTGACCAGGGCCGCTCGGCACATACATCTGTAAGGCTTAGTGACTACGAAATCTGATGAGGCTCTCGTCCAA